ACTGAACTAGAACTGAACTAGAACTGAACTAGAACTGAACTAGAACTGAACTAGAACTGAACTAGAACTGAACTAGAACTGAACTAGAACTGAACTAGAACTGAACTAGAACTGAACTAGAACTGAACTAGAACAGAACTAGAACTGAACTAGAACTGAACTAGAACTGAACTAGAACTGACTTGAACTGAACTAGAACTGAACTAGAACTGAACTAGAACTGAACTAGAACTGAACTAGAACTGAACTAGAACTGAAACTAGAACTGAACTAGAACTGAACTAGAACTGAACTAGAACTAAACTAGAAGAATATTTCTTATCGTTTGGAATTGGTGTAGTTCTCATTCTTATCCTTGTTTTAGATCATCCATATTGGTGGCATCTATGAGAAAGTGAGTAGATGGAGGCCAGCAGCAAGTGGTAAAACTCCAGAAGAGATATTGCAATTGTATACTTTTTAACATAATACTTGATGTCGCATTTGTTACGGCAGTTTTCTGTGGCGGAAGTAAATGACGCAAACACTACATGTCGAGGGGTGGTGGAAAGTTTCTTTAGCCTTAAAGAATCAAATGAAGATTGGTTGGAAGTCTAGTTGGTTGGCTGCTGACTGAGTGACTGACTAGCTGCTTGGTTGGTTAGATAAATGTTGCACTGTCTAACTAGGACTGGCTGTTGGCTGGGTTTGAAATAGTTGGGTTTTGCTTTTTTTGCATTTGCTCGAAAGCTTCTATTCATGTTTTGTTTTATTTCAAAATGTTAGATCCATGGAAAAACACAACAATTTAGTTTCTGGTTACAGTTTTTTTGTCTGATAGTTTATTAAGCAACCAACCAGGCAAAGGGAATCCAACAGGATTGTTTTAAAAGTTGTTAGTAAGTGCTTGGTTTAACTTGTGGAAACTATGTTGCAGTTGGTAAAAAAGAAATATTATATTGAAATTGAGGAGAGTTTCAGTTTCTGAAGTTTTGAAAATTAGACTTTAAACAAATGTAGTGGATGGTAAAAAATCAATGTTTAAACTACTTTATTGAGGCATCCTACGAAAAGCTTCTCCAATAAACTTAAATTTAGTTTCTATTATAAAATTTAATTTAAATCTATATTACGTTCCCAGAAACCCAATTTAGTTAGTTTTCATTTATCTCTTATGCAATTCCAAAAAACGAAACCAAAACCAACCTTTATTTATACACATTTCCTAATTACATTAATTTGAAATGCCTTCCTTCATTTCTTAAGTTTAAATTCCAGCAGCTATAGAAACTTTTTGATTTAAAATCATTTTATCCACATTTCTATTTATTATTTACATTTGCATTTCATCTTTTTGTGTACAAAAGTATGTCTTAATTGAATTTATTCAAAAATACTTCTTTCTGCCTGCTCGTCTTTATTTCAATATGATTTGTTAATCACATGTCTATATACACACACTGGGATTCTTTCTTGAGAAAAAAATGGCGGAATAAAAAGTTTACAAGAAATATATGTATGTATATATAAATCCTCATATTACTTAGTTCTAACATTTATACTGCATTTGAACACAGGCATACACATTTGTAATACATGTAAATATGTTTGAATGTGTGGGTATGCCACATTTAAAGTTTGACGTTGAAAACTTTTCATTGAAATAGTTTGGGAAATATGAAATGACATGAACTGAAGTGAAATTTAATATAGAGTTTATGCCTACTTACTAAATACTTTCACTTATATCCGATCTGTGAAGTCAACTAGATCTGAAATAGAACTGAAGTAGAACTGACTAGAACTGAACAAGAACTAGAACTGAACTAGAACTAGAACTGACTGAACAGAAGTGAACTAGAACTGAACTAGAACTGAACTAGAACTGAACTAGAACTGAACTAGAACTGAACAACTGAACTAGAACTGAACTAGAACTGAACTAGAACTGAACTAGAACTGAACTAGAACTGAACTAGAACTGAACTAGAACTGAACTAGAACTGAACTAGAACTGAACTAGAACTGAACTAGAACTGAAACTAGAACTGAACTAGAACTGAACTAGAACTGAACTAGAACTGAACTAGAACTGAACTAGAACTGAACTAGAACTGAACTAGAACTGAACTAGAACTGAACTAGAACTGAACTAGAACTGAACTAGAACTGAACTAGAACTGAACTAGAACTGAACTAGAACTGAACTAGAACTGAACTAGAACTGAACTAGAACTGAACTAGAACTGAACTAGAACTGAACTAGAACTGAACTAGAACTGAACTAGAACTGAACTAGAACTGAACTAGAACTGAACTAGAACTGAACTAGAACTGAACTAGAACTGAACTAGAACTGAACTAGAACTGAACTAGAACTGAACTAGAACTGAACTAGAACTGAACTAGAACTGAACTAGAACTGAACTAGAATGAACTAGAACTGAACTAGAACTGAACTAGAACTGAACTAGAACTGAACTAAACTGAACTAGAACTGAACTAGAACTGAACTAGAACTGAACTAGAACTGAACTAGAACTGAACTAGAACTGAAAGAAACTGAACTAGAACTGAACTAGAACTGAAAACTAGAACTGAACTAGAACTGAACTAGAACTGAACTAGAACTGAACTAGAACTGAACTAGAACTGAACTAGAACTGAACTAGAACTGAACTAGAACTGAACTAGAACTGAACTAGAACTGAACTAGAACTGAACTAAACTGAACTAGAAACTGAACTAGAATTAAACTAGAACTGAACTAGAATTGAACTAGAACTAAACTAGAACTGAACTAGAACTGAACTAGAACTGAACTAGAACTGAACTAGAACTGAACTAGAACTGAACTAGAACTGAACTAGAACTGAACTAGAACTGAACTAGAACTGAACTAGAACTGAACTAGAACTGAACTAGAACTGAACTAGAACTGAACTAGAACTGAACTAGAACTGAACTAGAACTGAACTAGAACTGAACTAGAACTGAACTAGAACTGAACTAGAACTGAACTAGAACTGAACTAGAACTGAACTAGAACTGAACTAGAACTGAACTAGAACTGAACTAAAACTGAAAGAACTGAAGTAGAATTGAACTAGAACTGAACTAGAATGAACTAGAACTGAACTAGAACTGAACTAGAACTGAACTAGAACTGAACTAGAACTGAACTAGAACTGAACTAGAACTGAACTAGAACTGAACTAGAACTGAACTAGAACTGAACTAGAACTGAACTAAACAAGAACTGAAGTAGAACTGAACTAGAACTGAACTAGAACTAGAACTGAACTAGAACTGAACTAGAACTGAACTAGAACTGAACTAGAACTGAACTAGAACTGAACTAAACTGAACTAGAACTGAACTAGAACTGAACTAAACTGAACTAGAACTGAACTAGAACTGAACTAGAACTGAACTAGAACTGAACTAGAACTGAACTAGAACTGAACTAGAACTGAACTAGAACTGAACAGAACTGAACTAGAACTGAACTAGAACTGAACTAGAACTGAACAGAACTGAAAGAAACTGAACTAGAACTGAACTAGAACTTAACTAGAACTGAACTAGAACTGAACTAGAACTGAACTAGAACTGAACTAGAACTGAACTAGAACTGAACTAGAACTGAACTAGAACTGAACTAGAACTGAACTAGAACTGAACTAGAACTGAACTAGAATGAACTAGAACTGAACTAGAACTGAACTAGAACTGAACTAGAACTGAACTAGAACTGAACTAGAACTGAACTAGAACTGAACTAGAACTGAACTAGAACTGAACTAGAACTGAACTAGAACTGAACTAGAACTGAACTAGAACTGAACTAGAACTGAACTAGAACTGAACTAGAACTGAACTAGAACTGAACTAGAACTGAACTAGAACTGAACTAGAACTGAACTAGAACTGAACTAGAACTGAACTAGAACTGAACTAGAACTGAACTAGAACTGAACTGGAACTGAACTAGAACTGAACTAGAACTGAACTAGAACTGAACTAGAACTGAACTAGAACTGAACTAGAACTGAACTAGAACTGAACTAGAACTGAACTAGAACTGAACTAGAACTGAACTAGAACTGAACTAGAACTGAACTAGAACTGAACTAGAACTGAACTAGAACTGAACTAAAAACTAGAACTGAACTAGAACTGAACTAGAACTGAACTAGAACTGAACTAGAACTGAACTAGAACTGAACTAGAACTGAACTAGAACTGAACTAGAACTGAACTAGAACTGAACTAGAACTGAACTAGAACTGAACTAGAACTGAACTAGAACTGAACTAGAACTGAACTAGAACTGAACAGAACTGAACTAGAACTGAACTAGAACTGAACTAGAACTGAACTAGAACTGAACTAGAACTGAACTAGAACTGAACTGAACTGAATAGAACTGAACTAGAACTGAACTAGAACTGAACTAGAACTGAACTAGAACTGAACAGAACTGAACTAGAACTGAACTAGAACTGAACTAGAACTGAACTAGAACTGAACTAGAACTGAACTAGAACTGAACTAGAACTGAACTAGAACTGAACTAGAACTGAACTAGAACTGAACTAGAACTGAACTAGAACTAGAACTGAACTAGAACTGAACTAGAACTGAACTAGAACTGAACTAGAACTGAACTAGAACTGAACTAGAACTGAACTAGAACTGAACTAGAACTACTAGAACTGAACTTGTTAGATATTGTAGTTAATATACCTTGATTACAAGAAAAACAATCTGGCAGCTCTATAAGCTGTCATAGGATTAAGCGATAAAAACAAAGAATAGAATATAAGAATATGAACTAAATAAAAAGGCCACTTGAATTCGGCAGCTTGAACAAAACGTGTGCTTATTTTTAAATGGTGTAAATACACAGCAAATGGCGACGAGGATAAAAAAAAAAAAAATTTTAGTTTTCAAGTATATTATTAAATCAAACATATGTAATTACATATTTAATAAATAAAAGAAAAAGAAAATTTAAAATGCCGGAAACTAGTTCGAGCAACAACACAGCAGCTGGTGGATCACCAATAACTTTACTGCCAACACAACCCATTGCAGATTTTGTCCCAAATGTCGATAAGTGGCAATTGTGGCATGAAAGGTTGGAAATATATCTGTGTGAGATTGATTGCAAAAACGACAATGTAAAGAAGTCGATTTTATTAAAGTCTATTGGAGCAGAAGCGTATGGAGTTTTGCATAGCTTATGTAGCCCGCAATCGCCAGTTGCAAAAACATATAAGGATTTATGTGAAGTGTTGAAAACACATTTTACGCCACCAACTATCATATTTCATGAAAGGAAAAATTTTCATGATGCAGTTATGGGTGAGAATGAAACTGTCTCCAATTGGTTTGCACGTATAAAAAAACTTGCTTTAAATTGCAAATTTGGTGAGCATTTGGACGCTTTCATATTAGACAAATTCTTAATTGGACTTCCGTCGAGAATTTTCGAACGAATCTGTGAAGAAGATGAGAGGTTATCTTTAAATGATGCTTTTAAAAAAGCCTTAATTTTGGAGACAAAATTTAAGTCATCGAGTAATGTGAGTGAAAGAGACGACGTTAATTTCATAAAACGAAACACGTGGAAAGGCAGCAGAATAGACCAAAAGCGCGGTAACAAAAACAGCACTGAAAGCAGAGGCAGCGGTAGTGGCAGAGATTACGGCAACAAACACAAAAATAAAGGCAAAGAATGTGTGCACTGTGGATGGCGAAATCACAAATCTGCAGAATGCAGATTTAAAGAAAGTAAATGCCATTCTTGTGGCAAACTAGGTCATTTAGCATCAGTTTGTCATTCCAAAAGAAAAGTAAATTATGTATCGGAAAACTCAGATTTTTCCCAGTTTGATGATTCTTACAATTTTTCCATCTTTAGTATTGAAAGTAGCAATCAGATGAGTCTTTACACACTACCAGTGATGATAAATGGATACCATTTAGAAGCTATATGTGACACTGGAGCATCTTGCACGTTGTTGTCTAAATCGTTTCTTCACAAATTAAAAATAAACGAAAAGGATATTCGTCCTTGTAAAACTTCGTATATAAGTTACAGTGGTAACAGTATTTCAATTTTTGGTGAGTTTCTTGCAAATATTACTTATAAAGGTCTTACAAAAAACATAGTTGTTATTATAACAAACACGGAAAACCCCCCTTTGTTAGGAAGGACATTTTTAAGAGCTTTTAACTTCGAGTTAAACCGGGTTAATACTATTGAGAAATGTGATTTAAGTGCTGTTGGTGAGCAAATAAAAGACGAATTTGCGGACGTATTTGATAAAGGTTTAGGAGCTTACAAGTGTGCTAAAATTTCTTTATCGATAAATGAAACGGCAAGGCCAATTTTTTTTAAGCCGCGCCCGTTACCACTTGCATGGAAATCTCAGATAGAGAACCAACTTCGCGACTTAATTGAGAATGACATTTTGGAGCCTATAGATCACTCAGATTGGGGAACACCAATTGTTCCAATTTTGAAACCTGATGGTAGTTTTCGTTTGTGTGGTGATTTCAAGGTCACGATTAATAAACATCTGATTGATTTCAAATATCCATTGCCCAGAATAGATGAGGTTTTTGCAGCATTACAAGGTGGGTGTTTGTTTACTAAATTAGATCTTTCAAACGCGTACAATCAGCTGTTGTTGGATGAAAAATCACAACTTTTATGTACATTAAGTACCCACATAGGCACTTTGAAAATGAAAAGGCTACCGTTTGGGATTAAGACGGCAGCAGCAATTTTTCAGAAGACGATAGAGGGCGTGTTAAGGGATGTGTCAGGTGTTGTAGTGTATCAGGATGATATAACCGTAACAGGTAGGAGCTTACAGGAACACATGAATAATTTAAAGATGGTATTGAGTAAACTACGCAATGCAGGGTTCAAATTAAATGTAGGTAAATGTAAATTTTTTGAGGAGAAAATATCTTATTTGGGTTTTACCATCGACAAAGATGGTTTGAGCAAAAATGAAGATCGTATTGTTTCTATAGTGAATGCTCCACCCCCACAGAATGTACCACAGCTCAGAGCGGTAATCGGGATGCTGAATTATTATTCTAAATTTATTAATCGCTTTGCAGAGAAAATGGTACCTCTTTATAATTTGTTAAAAAAGGATGTAAAATTCCACTGGTCAAAAGAATGTCAGACATTTTATGAAAATTTAAAGCGTGATGTCACGTCAGACCAAGTATTAGTACATTTCAACCCTAATTTACCAATAGTACTCGCCACTGATGCTTGTAATACAGCAGTGGCAGGTGTATTATCACACATTTTTCCAGACAAATCTGTAAGGCCAATTGCTTTTGTATCTAGAGCACTCACAAAAACGGAAATTAATTATAGTACGTTAGAGAAAGAAGCCCTCGCGATCATATTTTGTGTGACAAAGTTGCGTCAATATTTATTGGGCAACTACTTTACTTTGAAAACAGACCATAAGCCGTTGTTAACTATTTTTGGCGAATACAAAGGTCTGCCACTGATGGCTTCTGCTCGTTTGCAGCGCTGGGCCTTAATCCTTTCTGGATTCAACTATTCCGTAGAACATGTTAAGGGAACATTGAATGATGCGGATAATTTATCTAGAATGCCACAAGTACCGCTAGTTGAAGACTATGTCGAATGTAATTACATTAATTTGATTGAAAAGGAGAATGTGTTTGATTTTAATTTTAAGAAAATTGCTAAGGAGACAAGACGTGACCCCATATTGTCGAAAGTTGCTAGCGCTATTAACATGGGCACGGTACATCAATTAAAAGGTGATGAATTTAAACCTTACCGGGATAAGGGAGATGAATTGTCGGTCGAATATGACTGTGTACTTTGGGGATATCGCTCAGTAGTTCCCGCGAAGTTGCGAAAATCAATATTAGAGAGCTTGCATAATTCTCATTTTGGTATCGTCAAGACTAAAGCCTTGGCTCGTTCTTATATTTGGTGGCCGGCAATCGATAAGGATATAGAAATTCTTATCAAAAATTGTAGACCATGTCAAGAACTACTACCGAGTCCTGAAAAAAGTGTTTTAATACCTTGGAGTCCAACAGAATCTGTTTGGAGTCGTCTTCATATTGACTTTGCAGGACCTATTAAGAATAAGTATTTGTTGATTGTGATTGATTCATTATCGAAATGGGTTGAAGTCTACATAACTAATGAGATAACATCGCGTTTTACAGTCAATAAGCTCAGAGAATTGTTTAGTAGATTTGGTTTAGTTAATACCATTGTAAGTGATAATGGACGTCAGTTTGTTTCACATGAATTTAAAACTTTTTTGAAAATGAATAATATTAAGCACATTTTGACAGCTCCTGGACATCCGTCCACTAATGGTCAAGCGGAGAATATTGTAAAAACTGTAAAAAAATCTCTATTGGCTAATTTAAAGGAAAATTATAATGCGGACCTTAATGTTTTGTTAAATCAGTTTTTAATTGATTACCGCAATACTCCACATTGCTCAACTGGCGAATCGCCAGCAAAACTTCTTCTTGGTCGCTCACTTAAAACTCGTTTCGATATTTTAAGACCTCCTTTGGTGAAGGAGAAAATAAAGGAGTGTCAAGAAAAAAGTGTCCTTCTTCACAAAGGAAAGCGTAGTTTTCAATTTTCTGAAGGTGAAAAAGTTTTGATCAGAAATTATAAAGATTGCAATAAACCAAGCTGGTCACCAGCTACAGTTAAACAAAAATTGGGAGAACAAAATTATTTGTGTATTATGTCAGACAACAACCGGGAAATAAAAAGACATTTAGATCAAATCCGTAGTTTGGACGAAAATGATCCACAATACACCAATAATTTTGATAATTCTAAACGAGAGAATGTGTTGTCTGAAACAAACAACGAAAACAACAATGATGCAAGTCTTCCACCAATTAATGTCAAAAATGAGAATGGAGAGGTAGTGTGTGAAGATACATCAAATAGAAACTTAAGACCTAGAAGAGATGGTAAGGTAGTTAAATCAAGTTTAGCATTTTCAGATGTTGAAAAATAAATTAATTATTGTTTATGAACTTCGTTGTATCAACACATCTGTATAATATTTAATTAAAAATGTTAAAAATTATTGTTAAAATTTATTATTGTTAAAATTTGTTATTTGAAATTTGCATGATTATATTGTAAATTATATACATATATCTACTAGAATTAATATAATTTTTTATAAATATCTGAAAATGAATTTAATAATCATAAACTATTTTAAGGAGAGGCGTGTTAGATATTGTAGTTAATATACCTTGATTACAAGAAAAACAATCTGGCAGCTCTATAAGCTGTCATAGGATTAAGCGATAAAAACAAAGAATAGAATATAAGAATATGAACTAAATAAAAAAGGCCACTTGAATTCGGCAGCTTGAACAAAACGTGTGCTTATTTTTAAATGGTGTAAATACACAGCAGAACTAGAACTGAACTAGAACTGAACTAGAACTGAACTAGAACTGAACTAGAACTGAACTAGAACTGAACTAGAACTGAACTAGAACTGAACTAGAACTGAACTAGAACTGAACTTGAACTGAACTAGAACTGAAATAGAACTGAACTAGAACTGAACTAGAACTGAACTAGAACTGAACTAGAACTGAACTAGAACTGAACTAGAACTGAACTGAACTAGAACTGAACTAGAACTGAACTAGAACTGAACTAGAACTGAACTAGAACTGAACTAGAATTGAACTAGAACTGAACTAGAACTGAACGAGAACAGAACTAGAACAGAACTAGAACAGAACTAGAACAGAACTGAACTAGAACTGAACTAGAACTGAACTAGAACTGAACTAGAACTGAACTAGAACTGAACTAGAACTGAACTAGAACTGAACTAGAACTGAACTAGAACTGAACTAGAACTGAACTAGAACTGAACTAGAACTGAACTAGAACTGAACTAGAACTGAACTAGAACTGAACTAGAACTGAACTAGAACTGAACTAGAACTGAACTAGAACTGAACTAGAACTGAACTAGAACTGAACTAGAACTGAACTAGAACTGAACTAGAACTGAACCAGAACTGAACTAGAACTGAACTAGAACTGAACTTGAACTGAACTAGAACGGAACTAGAACTGAACTAGATCTGAACTAGAACTAGAACTGAACTAGAACTGAACTAGAACTGAACTAGAACCGAACTAGAACTGAACTAGAACTGAACTAGAACCGAACTAGAACTGAACTAGAACCGAACTAGAACTGAACTAGAACTGAACTAGAACTGAACTAGAACTATAACTTAACATTTTACACCTTTTCTTCAAACTTCCTTGATTAAAAAATTTGGCATTAAATCCCAAAAGTATTTCTAATCTCTGATGATCTTAAGGTTTCGCCATTCTTCCCTTAGAATTTAAAATTTTGTTCATCGTTAAATACATCAACATATTTTGCTGTTGTACAATGCCGTTGCATATAAATAAATACTTATGTATGCATGTTCCTTAGAATGTATATTGTAAGTATGCAGTGGTATTTTCTAAGTGCATTCATTTCATGGATTCACACAGATACGAATACTTATATTCACATGTTGTACATGTGTGTAGGAATATTTTAATATGATGTTTAGTTAAGTTTGTTGGATGTAAATAGAAGTTTGTTGAGGTTTTTTTCCTCCATTCGTCATCTTCGTTTTCTTATTTATTTCTTGGTAATTCTAGTAGTTTTGGTTTCTATTTCATTATAGTCGAGAGGAGGTATAATGTATTTGTGCTGATTTCTGTAACGACTTTAAATGATGGTCCTACAGTCCTATATTGGGACTAGTATATAGCATATAATGTTGGTAACCAGGCAACATTCGGACATTTATATGTCGAATTACGATTAATGGGTTCAATTTAAAACACACATCTTTTAGAGATGTTGAAGTGGAGTTCTAGCTTTAGCATGTATTGGGTTTTGTTTTAAGTTTTCATAATCGGTCCAAAATAAGCGACAGTTTCCACTAAACTCCAGTTTCTGAAAATTTCTTGAGATTGTTATAGGATGTCATAAAGTCGGGCTTGAACATAGCAATACATTCTTAAATAGAACTTGTTGTTTGTATTGTGTTCTGCAAAATTTTCTCAGAAAATTTTCAGTGAAATTTGATTGCAACAACTTTAAATGTTGTTGTTGCGCCAAAACGTTGGTGGCAAATTAGGGAAGCTGGTATTTAAAATTTCTTCGAAAAATTTGTTTTTGATCATTAAATAAAGTGGAGTTTTTAAGTAGGTTTGTAAGTATGTATGTGTATAACAGTTAAGGGGGTTACCGAAAATTATATGATGAAGAAAAGCTAACAAATTACCCATTACAAAGATCTGCCAAATGTAAAGAGACAGCACAAATACTATTTAGTTTTTCACATGATTCAATTTATGCTTACGTTGCCCATCACTGGCTTAAAAAGTATTTATTCTGAAAGTTTGGTTTTATTTTCTAAATTACTGGAAGTATAGAATTGTTTTGTATCATGAGCGTATAATGGATTAACAATGATTTGTTTGTACTTCTAGGAGTTTGCATGTAATTATTTTGATGATTTATTGTTGGAGAAATAGTTGTTGGGGAACTGATGGTTTAAAAGTTTTACTAAGTTTAAAACGATATTTAAAGCCAATTATTTTTCCTGCTATACTATTGTAATCATAAAATTTAATCATTCCGCCTGGCATATAGACTAACATATTCATGTTCTCGTCCATAATGTAACTAACTAGACTTTAGACAAGGCTATAGACTAGACTATAGACAATAATATAGGCTAGAATACAGACTAGACAATAGACTAGATAGACCTGACTAAAAGTTAGACTACAAGCTACACTGTAGATCATACTATGGACTAGGTTATAGACTAGATTATAAACTAGACTATAGGCTAGATTATAGACTAGACTATAGACTAGACTATAGACTAGACTATAGACTAGACTATAGACTAGACTATAGACTAGACTATAGACTAGACTATAGACTAGACTATAGACTAGACTATAGACTAGACTATAGACTAGACTATAGACTAGACTATAGACTAGACTATAGACTAGACTATAGACTAGACTATAGACTAGACTATAGACTAGACTATAGACTAGAATATAGACTAGACTATAGACTAGACTATAGACTAGACTATAGACTAGACTATAAACTAGACTATAGACTAGACTATAGACTAGACTATAGATTAGACTATAGACTAGACTATAGATTAGACTATAGACTAGACTATAGACTAGACTATAGACTAGACTATAGACTAGACTATGGCCTAGACTATAGACTAGACTATAGAATAGACTAGACTATAGAATAGACTAGACTATAGAATAGACTAGTCTATAGAATAGACTAGACTATAGAATAGACTAGACTATAGAACTAGACTATAGAATAGACTAGACTATAGAATAGACTAGACTATAGAATAGACTAGACTATAGAATAGACTAGACTATAGACTAGACTATAGACTAGACTATAGACTAGACTATAGACTAGACTATAGACTAGACTATAGACTAGACTATAGACTAGACTATAGACTAGACTATAGACTAGACTATAGACTAGACTATAGACTAGACTATAGACTAGACTATAGACTAGACTATAGACTAGACTATAGACTAGACTATAGACTAGACTATAGACTAGACTATAGACTAGACTATAGACTAGACTATAGACTAGACTATAGACTAGACTATAGACTAGACTATAGACTAGACTATAGACTAGACTATAGACTAGACTATAGACTAGACTATAGACTAGACTATAGACTAGACTATAGACTAGACTATAGACTAGACTAGACTATAGACTAGACTATAGACTAGACTATAGACTAGACTATAGACTAGACTATAGACTAGACTATAGACTAGACTATAGACTAGACTATAGACTAGACTATAGACTAGACTATAGACTAGACTATAGACTAGAATATAGATAGACTATAGACTAGACTATAGACTAGACTATAGACTAGACTATAGACTAGACTATAGACTAGACTATAGATTAGACTATAGACTAGGACTATAGATTAGACTATAGACTAGACTATAGATTAGACTATAGACTAGACTATAGACTAGACTATAGACTAGACTATAGACTAGACTATAGACTAGACTATAGACTAGACTATAGACTAGACTATAGACTAGACTATAGACTAGACTATAGACTAGACTATAGACTAGACTATAGACTAGACTATAGACTAGACTAGACTAGACTAGACTATAGACTAGACTATAGACTAGACTATAGACTAGACTATAGACTAGACTCTAGACTAGACTATAGACTAGACTATCGACTAGACTATAGACTAGACTATAGACTAGACTATAGATAGACTATAGACTAGACTATAGACTAGACTATAGACTAGACTATAGACTAGACATATGGCTAGACAAGACTAGACTATAGACTAGACTAGACTAGAATTAGACTAGACTATAGAATAGACTAGACTATAGACTAGACTAGACTATAGAATAGACTAGACTATAGAATAGACCTATAGACTTAGACTATAGACTAGACTATAGACTAGACTATAGACTAGACTATAGACTAGACTATAGACTAGACTATAGACTAGACTATAGACTAGACTATAGACTAGACTATAGACTAGACTATAGACTAGACTATAGACTAGACTATAGACTAGACTATAGACTAGACTATAGACTAGACTATAGACTAGACTATAGACTAGACTATAGACTAGACTATAGACTAGACTATAGACTAGACTATAGACTAGACTATAGACTAGACTATAGACTAGACTATAGACTAGACTATAGACTAGACTATAGACTAGACTATAGACTAGACTATAGACTAGACTATAGACTAGACTATAGACTAGACTATAGACTAGACTATAGACGACTATAGACTAGACTATAGACTAGACTAGACTATAGACTAGACTATAGACTAGACTAGACTAGACT